CGGTGCACAAGTGGTATGCCCATGACCAATTCAAGCCTGAGAACCAAGTTAAAAAAGTCCCAACACGGGCTTCTGAGGAGTATCCAAATATTGATGCCATCAAATGATCAAAGGATTGCCCGAAAACATATGAAAGAGGCAAGCCCTTCCTACCAAACTGGGACATCCAGTGCCTACCACATGGAATGAGAAGGTTCCATGATTGGTACTTGCGTGTTCTCCTAACGAGCATAGATCTCGTACAAGCATGCTTCCCCGCCGGCACATTTAGAAGCTCAGCCGGGAAAATTATCTTTGACTTCAATGACATGTAGACATGCTTTCACCTCGGAGCAATGAAAATAAATCTAATTCGCACAGGGTGCCTATAAGTCCTTGCCCTCCCGATATGATATGAATATAATCTTTGGATTTTGTTGTAACTAACACACGTCATGATTTGTAGAATGCAAGTGCACATTGTAAACAAAAGCCAAGTGTGAAAGCCAGGTATATAGACCCTCAAGATATATCACAAACAAATTTTAATTACCCTACACAGTGAAAACTGGATGCCAAAGAGCTAGCTGTTGGAAAGACCCTTCGGGAGAAAGAGGACATCCGTGCGAAGAAACTAAGGCAAGAGTCCCTTAAGGTTTCGGCATACATTGCCCTGGCTTTTAAAAATCTCCAACAGCACTCTACTATACGGCTAACATACAACTTCGAGTAAGTTCAACTCTATACTTAAAGCTTTGTTCGATATATTTTATTCGATGTAAAAGAGTTTATCTAGTTTTATGATTAAATTTATGCAACAACCACTGGATTTGTATAGGCGTCGATGTCGGGAGGAGCATGGCATGGGTCTTTGATTCAATAGATAGGGACCCGGTGACATACAAAGACTTCATATCGATTCTCAAGACGTATACATATCGACAATCCTCATTAGCTTATATGTTTGTATACATACTTGTAACGTTCACTTTTAGATACTAACAAATTGCATTTGCTAAAATAATTCGAACAGGGCATTCAAGTTCTATATCAATAAACATCACGGAAGGCATGATCCAGTAAGGAAGAAAAGGCTGGCTATAAAAATACTATGAGCGGTAAGTGTAACTTACTTTAGTACTCCATTACATGGCTTTTAAAAGCATTACTTAATATTTCCATATGCAAAACACACAGTGCCCTAAGCAGAAGCCTGGGAGTGTACATTGTGGATACTATGTATGTTCTATGATGAGTAACACCGGTGCCTACAGGAGAAACCCCTTAAGAGTAAGTTTGAATCTCTTCACCCGTAGTATAAAAACTTCGCATATGATATGAAATACTAAGTCGAAACTTGTTCTCTTGTAGTGGAAAGAAGAGAGAAATAAAAAGAGACCCATACAAGGATGACTAACTCTTAGAGCTCGTCGGCGACCTTTGCAACTTCATATTGGACCAGATTGTACACGTCAAAGACACCTACCATGACCGAGATTCTGACTTAGGAAGAAATCCTCGGTACCAACACCTTCTTGAGACTAAAAGGCTAGCTCTAGGCCGTTGATAACAATGTGTATGAAATTTGACATTGGTCTTATCTTGTGGGACGGTTTGGACTTGTGAAACGAATTAGACTTGTGAATTATGTTTCTTTAATGATGAATTGTATATATTATTGTGAATTAGACTTGTAATGGTAGTTTATATAATGCTCTTATGCTTGTGGTCAGATTTGAAATATATATATATATATATATATATATATATATATATATATATATATATATGTTCGGTCCAATTTGAATTATAAATTTAAATTCTTTTTGGTAGAAAAATGTACTGTAGGGATGGTTCTAGACTGAACCGCTCCTACAAACATATATTATAGGGACGGCTGCTGGATTGTTAGACATTTGAAAAGGATATCATTAATCTTTATCATGGTCCAAATCACTATCTTAACATTTTTATTATCAATAATGGAATCATCCATAGTGTCACTTGAGCCATTCACATAGCAAATAGCGGTCCAACAATAGCAATAGCGGCTTGCAACACTAGCACATAATAGAATTTATGCAGGTTCTGTTGCGTAACAACTAATCTTACGCGTCAACAGTTTGATTTGTTCGACTTCTTCGTTGTCCAGTCTGTGGACGGATTATCTGTGACAAGTACTAGCTCAGAAATTTTGTGACAAGTAGCGCAGAAACTGAGATAGGCGTCACTGGGTCAGCGTGTTTGTCCACGCGAAACCACGAGGATCCGTAGAATCCCCATGCCAGTACTTCCACACGGAAATAAATTGGACAGAAGCCCCCAACAGCATCGTTGATTTGTCATGCCGACTTCGTTTGGACCAAAGGGTCTATAGACAGCAAAATTAAGCCTGTGACTCTTCTTCTGTTTATTTGTACCCACTTTATCTGTTTCGCTGATGGAGAGAGCGAGCATCTCAGCTTTGGACTTTATTGCTTTCTCTTTTTAATCTATTTTAGGCCTCAACTCAAGACCGAGTCTAGTTGAATCTCAACTGCAAATTAAAGCCGTTTTAGATTTTCAACCCTCAGTCACATAATCGTTTGTTTTTAAACCTTGACTCCAATTTAAAGTTAGAGGGCATGGTGCTGACGTGGCAATGTGCTAAACTGAACTTTGTAGGTAATTTCAAAAGGCTCAAAACAATTCTCACATGTACTAATAAGGAGCATGTGTGCACCACACTTCCATATTGTTGCCATCATTCTTTGTGACAGGATGTTCCATCTTATTAGCTTTTTTAGAGGAACTAGTCTTATTCACTCTGGACACACCATATTGCTAGTGTCCACCCTAATACTTCCTGGTGATATGATTTGCTTAGCTACCATAATAGTACAATGTCCACCATCGCAGCGACAGGTTGTTGTTCTGCCCATCATGCGCATGCGCTTATACTCCTCTCGTCGGTGAATACCCTTGTGCCCATTCAGTTAACGGATCCCCTTGAAGCTCTTGCCACACTCATTGTATGTGTGCACCATACTTCCATTGTTGCCATCATTCTCTGTGAGACAGGATGTTCCATCTTATTAGCTTTTCAGAGGAACAAGTCTTATTCATTGTGGACACACCATTGCTATTGTCCACCGTAATACTTCCTGATGATACAATTTGGTTAGCTACCATAGTAGTACACTTGTCCACCATCACAGCGACATGTTGTTGTTCCACCATCATGCGCATGTGCTTATACTCCTCTCATCGGTGAATACCCTTGTGCCCATTTAGTGAATTGATCTCATTGAAGCTCTTGCCACACTCATTGCATGTGTGCACCACACTTCCATTGTTGCCATCATTCTCTATGACAGGATGTTCCATCTTATTAGCTTTTCAGAGGAACTAATCTCATTCACTCTGGACACACCATTGCTACAATCCACCGCAATACTTCCCAATTTGGTTAGCTACCATAGAAGTACACTTGTCCACCATCGCAGCGATGGGTCATTGTTCCTCCATCACGCGCATGTGCTTATACTCCTCCCGTCGGTATACCCTTGTGCCCATTCAGTGAACTGATCTCTTTGAAGCTCCTGCCACACTCATTGCATGTGTACACCACACTTCCATTGTTGCCACATTCTCTGTGATAGGGTGTTGCACCTTATTAGCTTTTTCAGAGGAACTAGTCTTATTCATTCTGGACACAACATTTCTAATGTCCACTGTAATACTTCCCGATGATACAATTTCGATATCTACCATTGGTACACTTGTGCACCATCGCAATGATGGGTTGTTGTTCCACCATCATGCGCATGCGCTAATACTCCTCTCGCCGGTAAATACCCTTGTGCCCATTTGGTGAACTGATCTTCTTGAAACTCTTGCCACACTCATTGCATGTGTGCACCACAATTCCATTGTTGCCATCATTCTCTGTGAAAGGATGTTCCATCTTGTTACCTTTTTTAGAGAACTAGTCTTATTCATTCTGGACACACCATTGCTACTGTCCACTGCAATACTTTCTAATGATACAATTTGGTTAGCTACCATAGTACACTTGTGCACCATCGCATCGATGGGTCGTTGTTCCACCATCATGCGCATGTGCTTATACTCCTCTCACCAGTGAATACCCTTGTGCCCATTCAATGATCTGATCTTGTTGACGCTCTTGCCACACTCATTGCATGTGTGCACCACACTTCCATCGCTGCCATCATTCTCTATGATAGGATGTTCCATCTTATTAGCTTTTTAGAGGAACTAGTCTTATTCACTCTAGCAACACCATTGCTACTGTCCACTGTAATACTTCCCAATGATACAATTTGGTTAGCTACCATAGTAGTATACTTGTCCACCATCGCAACGACGGGTTGTTGTTCTGCCATCATGCGCATGTGCTTATACTCCTCTCGTCGGTGAATACCCATATGCCCATTCAGTGAAGTAATCTGCTTGAAGCTCTTGCCTCCGCACTCATTGCATGTGTGCACCACACTTCCATTGTTGCCATCATTCTCTATGGCAGGATGTTCCATCTTATTAGCTTTTTCATAGGAACGACTTGTCTGATTCGTTCTACACACACCATTGCTACTATCCACCGCAATACTTCCTGTTGATATAATTTGGTTAACTACCATAGTAGAACACTTGTTCACCATCGTAGTGATGGGTTGTTATTCCACCATCATGCGCATGTGCATATACTCCTCTCGTCAGTGAATACCCTTGTGCACATTCAGTGAACTGATCTCCTTGAAGCTCTTGCCTCACTCATTGCATGTGTGCACCACACTTCATTATTGCCATCATTCTCTGTGACAGGATGTTCTATTTTATTAGCTTTTTTAGAGGAACTAGTCATATTCATTCTGGACACACCATTCTACTATCCACTGGAAAACTTCCCAATGATACAATTTGGTTAGCTACCATAGTAGTACACTTGTCCACCATGGCACCATCGCAACTACAAGTTGTTGTTCCACCATCATGCGCATGTGCTTATACTCCTCTCGCTAGTGAATACCCTTGTGCCCATTCGGTGAACTAATCTCCTTGAAGCTCTTGCCACACTCATTGCATGTGTGCACCATAGTTCCATTGTTGTCATCAATCTCTATGAGAGGATGTTCCTTCTTATTGGTTCTTTTAGAGGAACTAGTCTTATTCATTCTGGACACACCATTGCTACTATCCACCGCAATACTTCCTGATGATACAATTTGGTTAGCTACCATAGTAGTACACTTGTCCACCATCACAGTGATGGGTTGTTGTTCTGCCATCATGCGCATGTGCTCCTCTCGCCGGTGAATACGCTTGTGCCCATTTAGTGAACTGATCTCCTTGAAGCTCTTGCCACACTCATTGCTTGTGTGCACCACACTTCCATTGTTACCATCATTGTCTGTGACACGATGTTCCATCTTATTATTAGCTTTTTCAAAGGAACTAGTCTCATTCATTCTGGACACACCATTGCTACCACCCACCGCAATACTTCTTGATGATACAATTTAGTTAGCTACCATAGTAGTACACTTCTCCGCCTCTGTCGGATGCCTTAAACCGTGAACTTCGGTAAGCATGTAATTTCTATTTTAACTAATTTGAAAAATAGGGTTTCATGAAAAATACCCATCCTATTAGGCATCTGGAGAAATGTCGACCTTCATCCTTTTGGTCATTGCACATCTGCACTAAGCAGTCCTCATGTGGCGACATTTGGGCCACTCCTCTCTCTTGTTATCATATCCCCAGAGAAGATTTGTCATGGGTGATGTCACTTTTTCCCTGCAATGGAAACTCATAAAGTGGTTCATCCCATTCATCTAGACCAATAGAACCCTCCCACATGATGGGAGGTCCCTTCCTCCCACCCCTTCCTCTCCCTTAGAATGCACCCATTCCTCTCCATAAGCCTCCAAACATCTCTACTGCACTCAAGTTAGGGTGCAAAAGATGTCGCAAGGCATATGTGTATATAGGCAAGGCTAGCCGTCTCTGTGTGGTCAAGTCACATTAATTTGGAATGGACAACACACTAAAGTTTATTACATGGCTAATTAATGCCACTGAAAAGGTTAGGTTTTTGGACTGAAAAGTCTACGGTATGAAAAATGCATCACATGGCTACTGTATATTAGTCTGAAAAGTGCAGGACATTAAAACACACCAAAAAGTCATGTACATGAATAGTTCTAAAAGTACACCTAATTTAGTCCAAAGGATCAAATGTTATGTGCATGAAAAATAAAATATACTACAACATCAATTGTCACCACCCTCAAAAAGCAACTCATTGTCCGAGTCTCAATCCTCTACCACAACCTCATTCCTTTAGTTGGGCTCACCTACATTGGCCTCATCTGCCTTTCGCTTGAAGTAATCAGCCTCTGCTTCATCTGCGGCCTGAGACAAGAACGCATCTTCCTCCACTTGCTTGTCTTGTCTAACAAGTCCGCTTCCGCTAGAGCGATGAGCTCACTCAATCTAGCATAGTCCTCCTCATCCTCGCCACCCTCATCGGCCTCCACAATCTAAGATAGCACGGGGCGAGCACCTCTCTTTTTTTGCTCCCCTACCTTCCTTTTTCCAACCATGCATGTGCTACCTTAGCGGCATGCTCCTCGCTGTGCCCTCTCCCTGAATGGACAAATACAAAGTTAGCAACGCGAATAGAAATAAAAATAGGATACCAAAGGAAATAGACAGCCGAAGCACTCACTAGGAAGCCTAGGCAATCCAGCAACAAGGTCTTTCATGACCTGCATCTAAACTTTTCCGCCTGCCTTGCCCTCTCCTCCTCTGCTTTCTTCTCGATAGCCAATCACATTTTATGCTCCCGAACATACCACTCATTTGTACCTGGATGTATAGGGTGAAGCAGACCCCTTTCTCTTGCTTTCTTACGTATCTCCTATATGTGTTGCTTAACGAAGACATTGACAAGCTGAGATCTTCTGTCCCATTACTTGCTTCGCCTTGATTGTATCCCAAAATTCATTTGTACCATTGTAAGACTCCTGTTTACATTTTTGGTGCTCTGTTCAAACAAAAATATAAGTCATTATGTGCAGAAAATTCAATTTCAAGTTTTCCATAACAAATAACCAACCTCATCATAATCAAGCATATGCCCACACCAATGGTCTATTCCACGCTCCAAAGGATCTAGGCCATAGTGGGCTTCAATGCCACATTTGCATAGTACCGGAGGTGCCGAAATGATTATCCTCTCTTCTTTTCCTTTGGCTCTAGAAAATGAGACTTAGGACCATAGAGCCACACATGGAAATCACACTTCCAGTATCCGTGCTGCAAAAGACAATAGATTAGTACATGCCAAACATGGAAATAAAAAGTTCAAGAGATAAACTATTCACTTACTTCGTTCTTGTTACCACACTCAAACTTGAGCTAGCGAACTTATACGGGACACCATAGCTTGATCTCCATAATGACACAGAGGAGGGTCCTCAAGTCATTTTGCGATGGCTTCGTTCTTCTCCATGTCCATCATTGGTGGGGGGTTAGGGTTAGGTGGAACCCACCGCTTGAAGTGCTCGTGTTTTGTACGACAAAACTAATCTTTGATAAGGAGGTACCATGGGTCAAACTTGTTAGGACCATCAATCCACTAGAAAAAGTAGCACCTCTCCTTGTCCTAAATAAGATAATTCAATCAACTCAGCAGTAATTTCATAACATATATCAATGAACATACAATGCACTCCTTCGTTTGCCAGCTTTGTACGTGCTCCTACACAATTATCATCGCAAACAGTGAACCTCCTACGTTTTTGCCATTTTCGCTGACATGGCACGCCAGGTGGGCACGCCAGCGTGGCAGTGAGCTTGAGAAGGCCTACAGAGCATGCAGAATGACCTGTTTACCCCTGCAGCTTCTCTCCCTCACTCACTGGCACATGGGCCCCACACGTTAGCTTTGTCTTCACAACCTCTAGCCATCACCCAGAGAGGGAAGGCGAGGAGCTCGTGCATTCCCGGCCGCGCTGCTGCCCCTCCTCGACCTCCGACATGACTTGCCGGACTGCCCCCTGTGCCGCGCGCCCGTCCATTTAATTTGACCACGAGGCACGAGTACAAATCGAGCTACACCAGCACCATGCACGCGACACGCTACGACGTCATCCTTCAATGAAGCCGGTCATCTAGAGCATGGAGTCACGGAGATGGCGTAGGTCGATCGACGGCGGGCCAATGGACGCCCGCAACGTCCATATCGCCGGGTCTGCCTCCTCTGACCGACCGCTAGCCAGCTGACAGCAGCAAGTGTGCTAGGAGCGGGCAGCCTTGGGGCCAGGCACGTCCATGGGCTGAGAGCGCGCTGCGGGTGCGTCGGGTGGCTGCGCCACCTGCACTGGCATAGGTGACGAGCTAGGCGGCGGCGACAACTCGTGAGTGTAGCAGGTCTCCAGCCAGAACACCTCGAACTCGTCAAGCTCTTCAATTGCCATGGCAAAGATGGCGAATGGGCAGAGACCGAGAGCCCAAGAGCATTGAGCGAGTGTGGCAAGAGCCGTACTTATTTGGTAGTCATGTCTTGAAGCTCGGAATCGCGATGGATTTCGGCGAGAGCGACCGTGATGTACGCTGGCAAGGTGAACTCCGCATGCCTGGCGAAAGGGGCGGCGGCAAGTGGGTGTGGATCCTGTTGCCGGACGGGCGCGTGGCAGAGCGCGCGGTTTAGCAAGACATGCCGGAGGTCGAGGAGGGGCAGCAGCGCGACTGGTACTGCACGAGTTCCCCCTTCCCTCTCTGCGTGGTGATGGCATGAGGTTGAAGACAAAGCGAACATGTGGGGCCCACGCGTCAGCGAGTGGGGGAGAGAAGCTGCAGGGGTAAACATGTCATTTCGCATGCTCTGTTGGCCTTATCAGGCTCACTACCACACTGGCGTGCCCACCTAGCGTGCCATGTCAGAAAAAATGATAAAAACGTAGGAGGTTCACTGTTTGCGATGGCAATTGTATAGGAGCACGCACAAAGCTGGCAAACGAAGGAGTGCCATCCATAAGGATGGCAAAAAGTTAAAAAACCCTTACTTAATCGTTGATCTCTGCAAGTGTAGAAGATCCGGGCAGCTATGTCTAGATGTCTGATTCATACACCTAGACAGGCTTACACCATAGTCACTGTTAGGGATAGGTAGTTGAGAATAGACATGTGCATCCTTGCAAGACGCATTGGGGTATAAAGATTTGGGATGACCACGTTTTCGCCACTTCTCCCTATGCCACAGGCCGTGCATGTCGCCCGTCTATCAAAACATGCAGTTAAACACACAATTAATATCAATACAGACAGTTAACCCATACTAACTAACTTAGACATGGAAACTAAAATTTCTAAGTAACTTACTAACCTAAACATAGAACAAATTAAACCAACAAATACTAACAAAGTTTAACATACACTTAAACATAGTATCTAAAATTCCTAACTAACTTAATAACCTAAACATATGGCAAAAGCAACTACATGTACACGTAAAAATCTAGGGCAATCACAAAACACAACCTTCCTAACGTTTTCGATCTTCCTACAATACTTTCCATCTCTTCCCAAACTAAAATTTCCATGCAAACCCTAGCTATCAAGCCTACTCTTCGAATCCACCGTAAAATCACGAAATGAGAGCGGCATTACCTTGCCCTTGGCGGGGGAAAGCTTGGGGGCGCTAGGCAGATGGGCGCGGCAGGGCCGCACCGGCCTGGATGGCGCGGTAGAGGGAGCTATGTCAGCGGTCCGTGGCCGGTTGACCGGCCACGGTGGCAGGCCAGCCGTGCCAAGACGACTGGCATGGCAGTGTGGTTTAGCTGCGCCAGGGCATTAGTCGTGGCCAAATGGTTAGTTTTGAAAATAAAAAAAATCAAGTGTGTTGGTTTTAAAAATTGTTTTTTTAAAAGGTTAAAAATAAGAAAAAATTCGTGTCCGCTGCCTTCAGTTGGTGTACGCTGCAACATGGCGGTAACGTTGCTATTGCTATCCATGGGCAAAGGGGCGAGGGCGCTGCTGTATATTGTGTTTTTAATTTGCCGCGTGGTTTTCTCGGAGCAAGGGCACCTACTGGCTGCTGCAATTTATGCAGGTCCTGTTGCGTAACAACTAATCTTATGCATCCAACAGTTTGATTGTTCGACTTTGGTATCCGATGTCCGCCCTGTGGATGCATCCTGTTATGCCAGTACTTCCACAGGGAGATAAACTGGACCGAAGATCCCACGGCATCATTGATTTTTATGTCGACTTCGTTTGAACCAAAAAAGTCTAGGACAAAAGCCCGTAACTCTTCTGTTTGTTCCTACTTTTTTCTTGTAGCAGAAACATGGTCCCAGTGTCTAGTAGCCTCAAGTCACACCTCTTGACCTCTACACTTGTTCTCCATCACACCGCATTGTATGTCACGTGTCAGAATGGCTTGGAAACGAGTAAGCGCGAC